TTGAAAGGGTGAATAAATTTCTCATGAAGAAATTACAAACACTATTATTAATGACTTATATGTTCTCAAATTACAAGAAAACCACGACTCTACTAAACAACTGGTTCTATCAATAAATTTAAATGAGACATTCAAGGGAATAGATGTGCATAATGTTAGAAAAACGGACACACAAATGAGTACACTAACAATCGAACATGGACATGAGTCTTTAACAAAACCTATACAATCATTGAAAAACCCAATCGTTCTAAATCGTGAGATCTATAGCAATAAGGCCACATAAAATGCCACTAAGAAATAAATCTAGCATACCAACATACGGCCTAACACTAGAAAACAAGACAAAAACACACCGCCAAATAAGGTTAAAACAAACCGTTATTACAAACCACAACACACAGAAAAAAAAAAGTTCAAGCACCGGTAACAAAATCTTAGATATGATACAATCGACAAAAGAAATAGTAATGATAATAAGGTATTTTTTTGTCGCTACCCCTTCAACTTGTCGCTTTTAGTAAATTGGTCCCCAAACTAAAAATTTTGACAATTGATTTCCTAAACTTTAAAATATGTTGCATAAGAGATCTAATCGAAAAAATAGTAATTTTGTAACGATTTGATGGATCAATTGTCACAATTTTTAGTTCAAGGACTAATTTACCAAACGAGATAAATTTAACAGGCAACCATTCAAAAAAAAAACCTAATTAACGAATAAATACAACTTTAGCAAACAGAAAAATGACTAATTACAATTTTGTTTGTCTATTGCTAATTGAACCTAACTAACCAGTGTTAATTAGACCATAGGTTAATCTCAGAAATCATCTCTAATTTATCAAGTTGTTTTGAGTTTTAATCTTTTCATTATTTGTGTGTAAAAAAAGGATAGAATTTACACGTGATACTGAATTTTGCTAGTAGAACACGGAGTATGAACATGATTTAACTGCAAAAATGTAAAACAACACTTAACTTATGGAATATTAAATGTAGAATGAATAATTCTAATAATCTATCACCTATACTAGCTTCAAAAGAAAAACACACTTCAGGAACTTTTTTTTTCTTGTTAGAGCTGTAAGTTTAGGCCGGGCTAAATATACCGGCCTGAGGCCTGTCACTATTGGTCCAGAACTGGCCCGGTCAGGCCCTAAATTGTTGGACTTATGCCGACCCTATTTCCTCTAGGGTCGGTTGGACCGGTTCAAACATCATATTTTTTTAAAGATTTTGTTAAAAAATACCTTATAAAATTTTAGGCCGGGTTGGGCCGACCCTCTCTCTTTTAGGGTCGGCCCGACCAAGCCTGAAATTTCTCTTTGGGCCGCCAAGCTCGGGCCGGGCGACCCAAACTTACACCTCTATTTTCTGCTCAAATGCCACTTAATAAACTTCTTTCCGCACTAAAACTTTCTCTATCCCCCATGAAACTAAGAACAAAAAAGGCTAATTTTAAATTTGGCCCCAAAATATGGTTGTTTCACTTTATCACTTACAATTCAAAATGGCAAAAAATGGGCTCCCAAACGTTCTTAAGTTGCAATTTTGATATTTATATATGTGAAATGCCATTTTTTTATTTAAAAAAATGCCTTTTTTTATAGTTTTAATCACATGTGAGTCACATGACTATTTGATAAAAGGTATAATAAATATAAAAATGGACTTCAAAATTTAAAAAAAAAATATCAAAAAATGCAAATTTTTTCTCACTCTAACCCTAAGTGTCGGCTTCTCTTTTACTTATAATCCCCACATCGTCATCTTTTCTTATATTATCTTTTACTAACCAACGACGTCATCCAATACATATGACTAAAATTGTTGAAAAATTAGTGAATTTCATTGACGAAAGTACTAAAATTATTACTTATGAAAAGTTTTTGATCCAATTTTTTACTATTTTAAATTATACGGGATAAAGTGAGTCAATCCTTATTTTTCGAAGTGGTCAAAATTATAATTAACCGAACTCGATAAATGGGGGTTTTTTTTTTTTTTTAAGAACCCGTTCAATGGTTTTGGATTAAAAGGAAAAAAATCGTAATGGTGTAATTCTAGTCGTATATATGATGGGCCTCCTTTTTACATAATTCTTTGCCGCGTAAAAAAAAAAAAAAGGTGCTGCATGTAAAATGGAGTGTGCATGTACTCCTCCCATTTTTTTAATCAATTTCTTCCTAGACTAGATATATTTTAATTCTTCTTTTAGTAGCCCCTACAGATCTACACAATCTATCAAAATTTTAGCTTACCCTTAAAGCAAATTCAGCCCTCCGTTTTTCATCCAATGGTCTTAATTGATTTTCGGACTGATCAGCCATTTTAAGGTTGCCGGATGAAAGACTCTTAAAAACACCAACTAATCAGCAGTACGTATGTACTTGTTTCCCTGAAAAGTGGTTTCTTGGGTTGTAAACCGCTATTTGACCTACAACGCATGTAATTAGATGGTTGAAAATCCAGGTATTCTTGGATGATTGGTCATTAAAGAAAATGGTAGCAAGTTAAAATGTTAAATATCAAAATATATACGTACATGTACATTATTACGGTGGTGATGGATACAAGTATACCTTATAGTACAACATGCAAATATTTGTTAAGAGATGATATATGAACTTTTTTTACATGCGAGCAAGTTACAAAGTTACAAGAGCGTTTTTTCAAGTAACATTTGGTCAACTGACAATAGTTTTATGATGAAACGTGTAATCGAGCTAATTTTCTGTAATTACTTGGATGATTAGGTCTATGCAATTCAGTATATATATTTTTTTATCATCAAAATTTAACTACTTAATATCCAACTAAATTTCACTGCATTTGTTGTTTTCGAATTTATCGGTTCCATGCACTGTTAATTCTATTAGCTATTCTCTTAAAATGCCATTTCTTTTGTTAAGAAAAGAAAGAAAGAAAAAAAAACCGTCTTCCTTGTTTTTTCATTTCTTTTACATGCATGTATAAGTTTCTTTTACTTCTTTTCATCTTGTTTTTCTTTTCTTTTTTTTTTTTTTTGGCGCGTGTTTTTTCAATTGTCCACTTGTCGTCTACTTATTATTATTATTTTTTTTCTTTTGGGATCTTTTCATTTATATATGATTATGGTGATTCTAGTATCTTCTCACACTATTAATATTATAATGCTTCGCAATGATTATAGATGATTAGGATGAGGTATTAGGTAACGAGTATTTCGTGTAACAGTTTCTATCACTAGAAAGTAAAAGAGATAAGCCCCGTAATGACTAAAATATAATTTCATAAGAAGAATATCTAACATTAATTAATTATTGAGAACAATTTTGTATGAGATCTAAGAGCTTCGATAATTTGAATGGCACAAATCAAACATTATTATTACATAAATAAACATTAATACAAAGAATTAATCACACCCACACGTTTCTATATATAAAGCCGAATGATCATTACAAATAAGTCAATAGGCAAATGAGATTGTGGATAGTGGGCCCATTGATGACTACACATTAGTCGTGCACCTCGCCACCAAAGAACAAACCTTGAAAAATCAGGCCAACGAAAAACCACTGAACTTTCTAAAAGCTTCTTCTCATTCTATCTTAATTGGGACCCACCAAAAATAAGCTCCCTTTTAAGAATGAACAGCAATGGGCTTCCTTCAAAAAAATCGAAGCGCCCTCTACTATTCCGTCAAACATCAAACAATGTTCTTTTCACAAATCTGCTTTCATTAACAAAACAAATCCCCTATAGAGAGAAATCCCTTCTCTTTAATTAATTAATTACCTAAATACGCCAACCAAATCTTCATCATTTACAAGTAAATGGTAACCAAATTAGCTCAAACCAGTGTAACATTATTTTTTTCATTGATTACTACCACAGCCCACAGGTCATATAATATTAATATTGTGACCTCCCTTATGAAAGATTGAAAATAGTAACTAATATTATGTTTTGGTATTAAAATACGGCGTTATGTCGTTTTGTATAGCTATAGTAATAATAATTAAAAATAATGTCATTACCAAACTTAAGGATCCCAAAGAGAATCACTTTGCATATCCTCGCCCCAATAGTCATTCTCTTCAGCATCATTGAAGAACATGGCCGACTCCTTCATCATGGCTTCGGACATCTCCATCCACGTTGTCGGCGAGTCGAGCGGCGACTCGTTGATCGCCTTAATTTGACTCGGCGACAGCCGAACGGTGACCGGCCCCACTCCCGGGCCCGAGCCGCCAATCTCGGACGCCGCCGGAACAGGAGAAATATTACCGCTCCTCAGCCTCAGCGCCGCCTCGTGAGCCGCCATGCGGATGTTGAACTCGCCGGGCGGGGCAAGCTGCTGACAAGGTGAGGGAAATTCAGCATCGCCTCCCGCCCCCGGAAATGCAGCGCCGCCACGTCGTAGGCCGCCGCCGCCATCTCCGGCGTCTCGAAGCTGCCGAGCCAGATTCGGCTTTTCTTGCCCGGTTCTCGGATTTCCGATACCCACTTTCCCCATTTTCTCTTGCGGACTCCTCTGTAGATAGAAGTCGCGGCACCTGCATGGCTGCTTGGCTCTCCCATATTTTTATTTAAAAAAAAAAAAAAAAAAAAAAAAAAACCGTCCCAAGCAAATAATTAAGAGAAAAAAAATGTATGTATTGATTCGGCACTACTTGTAGTACTAGTGAATGAAAGCTAGTGTGATCCAGTGTATATGACGATGATCAGTATTTATAGATGTGGGGTTAGAAAACGTGGAGACTTAACATGGTTCGAAGTAAGCTTCCACGTAGCTGCTCAAGTGAAAAAGTAAGTGAATTTGTGCATGTATAGGTTTCTGGACCATACAAAATAAAACAAAAGATTTCTTCAAAAAGAAATAAAACAAAAAGATTATTTTACTTTTGAAATTCGATGAACAAAAAATAAAAATCCTGGCCTTGAACCAATCGCAGGTTACCAGGTTTATTCAGATAAAAGAACATGCTATTAGTCACATTCGGTTTGAAGACGCGGTTTGGTGGAACAGGAGATCATCTTGGACCCACCCAATTCCACAAATAGAGCTTTCTCAAGGTGAATCTAAATTATATTAGGGCGTCAGAGATTTTTTGGTCTGATTCCTGGTCATAGGTTTTAATTATTAGTTTTTTTAACTTGCCCCTATGCTTGACACATTTCATTAATTTCCTTCGCTAGCTTCGGACAATTAACTTAAGAGTCCATATATATATATATATATATATCATACGCGTACTATATAAGTTTTTTAAATATTAGGACTCTGGGAATAAAAAATCTACGTTTTATGATGGAGTCAGATATAATAATAACATTAAGAGGTTGTTCTTTTGAAGTGTAACTTGAGTGTAATTTTTGAGTTGAATTTGAGTTATAACTTGAGTTGAAGTTAGAACTTGAATAAAGTTGAGTAAAATTGAATAAAATTGAAACTTAAAAGAACGTGAACTTGAATAAAGTTGAAACTTGAGTTGTCTTTTTTTGAGTTTTTTGGACAAAAGAAGATGCCCTAAATTATTCCCGTAATCACCTGTATAAGCATTTTGATAAGCAAGATTTATGTGTGAGAAATTAACCAGAATTGAAAGAAGAAACATGATCAATTTTTGACCTCCCATGCTGAAGAAACCCAAACGTAGAAGCAAATGTTATATGTCAGCAGAATGTTTTTGTTGCAAGTTATATATATATATAGGTCAGCTATTGATGAGTTATATAATCACCTGTATAAGCATTGGATCCGTTACATCACGAATAAGCAAATAATATTCTCTCGGGGTTCCACCAATTAGGGTGTTTGGTATGAGGATTCGTGCTATGATTCGAATCATGGTTCGTAGCTCGCTATAATATTTTTTCTCACAAAAAATACACGTAAACTGAGAATGGTTCTGAATTTATGAATCAAACGTCCACTTAATCTATTGTTGCAACATATATAACATTTCTTGAATTTTAATTTAGTGTCGTCGTAAGATTCTTTTTTTTTTCATGAAGATGCTGAAGTAATCAACTGCAATATGGTACAAATAAACCTTTTCAAGTTGTAGACTATGTACATCATCCGCAATAACAAACTCATTTAAATATCACCTCTTAGGGCGTGCTTACTGCTTACTATTCTTATCTTTTGTTTACTAATGTTCTTTTTGTATTTTTGCTTAAATTCATATCCTTGGTAGGAAATGAACAATCTAGAACGTCATATTGCTCATCAAACTCTTATATTGGAGAAATTCACTCTATCAATATGTATGTAATTGCCTTCAATATTGGACAGAAACTATTTTTCATAATACAGACAATATACATAAACAAGCAAGGATTCAGCAAAAATAAATAAATAAATAAACAAGCAAGGAAAAAATGATGAATGTTTAGTTTCATGTTACCACTCGTATTATAATAAAATTTTCTTTTCTTTTCTTAGATTTTAATTACCTTTTATCAGGACCCACCTGCCTAGGAGAAAAACACCAGGCAATATTATTCTTACCTACCTATCCCAAAAACTCCTCTATTTTTTTTTTTTAATATTTATCCAGTACTGAAGGTAGACAAATGATCCCACTAATTAGAAGAATCAGCTTTCCTGTCAAGCAGAAAAAATTTTTGAAGTTTGAAGAAAGTAAAAGTCCCAAGTTCCCACTTAGAGAAAGCAGAAATTGCCGAGGTACTAGGGGAATTAAAGAGTAGTAATATATATAGGTAAATACTAGTATATGCTAGACTAAAGTTAGTACTCTTGGCGTTTTATAGTTTATCCTCAATAGCAACTAATTATCATCTCATAATTGGATGCAAAATTCGCATAACAACATTTTAAAAAAATGATATAGCTTTTTTTTTAAAAAAAAATTGAAAATTGCATTCCAAATAAGAGAAATACAAACACTAATTTAGATGTGAAAAACTACAACGCATTTAGTGACTCAACTATAATCACAAACCGAAATTACCAGTAGGTTCGACTAAAACACTCTAGGGGATAATACATACTGAGTTCCAATAAGAGTAAAACATAGAGGCGCACAATTAATTAAGCACACAAATAACACTTTTAAACACACCACTATAATTGGTGGATAACTCCGATTAATTGAGATTAAAAGACAAAATGTACCGAGACCTACAACAACACTGCAAAGAACAAAAGACAACATCGAAAAATAAGGAGACGACTTCCATTATTACAACAAAAAATCAACAACATAACAAAAACACACTAAAATTAAACAACGGAAACATCAACAACATAACAAAAACACAACGGAAACATCAACGTCTTGTTAAGACTATGGAATGACATAACTACTTGAGAAGACTTATAGTTATCTATAATATAATACTAGTCAGTGCCACGGGCTATGCACATCGGAGTAATTTTTATAGATTCTTGTTGAAATTTAATTTTACCTTATTATTATTTTTCTGGTTTGTTTAGTAATAAAGGTTTCAATTGATTGTTCATTAACTGTTAACACTAACATTATATTTGCGAGAATGAAACATTAACGACAAAAGTTAGAGAAATTTTAAAGTATAAATAAACTATTATGTTGTTTAATACAGAGAAAATTAAGAGAAAAATAATTGAAAAATTCATTCAATGATTTCTTAGTTATTGAAAAATTCATTTAACTATTTCTTAATATTAAAAAATTGTCTCCATATATATGAGAAGAAAAAACACATTTATATGTGAATGCCTTTGGGCAAAATTATTTTATTGTGGTGATTAGTAAAAAAAAAATTATGAAGCTCACTTTAATAAAACAAGATTTTAAATTATTAGAAAAAAAAATGATGTTGTTTAGCCGCTGTGATGAATCTCCACAATGATGTTGTTTAGCGTGCACCACACATCTTCTATTCACCCGACGATCTCCTTTCGATCGGCAGAATTTCCTCCCGAAAGCAACAAGCCTCTCTCATAATGATTAAGACTTAAAGGCTCTTAAAAGTACAGACGTCTCTCTGAATATTTCTCTGTAAAAGTTCTCAAACTCGCTGATTTTTTCTCTGAATATTTTCTCTATAAAATTCGTGCTGCCAAGTGAGCAACCTTGAGGCCTTTTTTATAGAGCTTCTAAAACTCTCCTTATTTCACGTTAATCACATACGCACCGTAACAAATCTCTTAATCCACCAAGATAACTTATTCAAATTCTCTCCATGATCTTCTCCAAGTATTATGAATGTTATCTTATCTACACAAAAAATATGCTTCATTATCTCCTTAATTTGCTCAATATAACCTCCACCGAGCATTTGCAGGTAAGGCAAGAAGATAATGCCAAAATAGATTGAAAACATCCAATTGCTTCTAACCGATTATTACAACACAACATTTATCTTCATATAAATTTCAAACTTCAAATCTCCATGCGCTCATCTTCATTATCTCCACGTGCACAATATCTTTACATTGGCTTAATTATCACATTGGCTTCATGTGGATACCATCATGTAATGCAAGTCACTTTGAATTTCAAACATCAACTAAATCTAAATGCCCAATATATATTCGGATTTTCTGTTGCCAAATAAATCTTTATTTCATACTTGCACAAGCCATCTTCAATTGCAATTTGAATTCAATTCAAATTCGAATCCCAAAAGCTAAAAACTAGATAATCATCACAATAAAATCTCCACAAAATTTGCACACAATCCGATTCAAAGTCTTGTTCAAATACTCCATGAAATCTGCACAAAATCGGATCCATTGATGCCACAAATATTTCTGACTGAAATTCTTGGTCTGCACTGAATCTTCTAAAAGTTGTTTTTGAATTTTTACAGAGAAAGACAGTTAACAAAACTGTTAATTAATAAAAATACCTAACAAGAAAGACAAACTTAAAAAAAAAAAAAAAAAAAAAAAAAAAAAAAAAAAAAGAGAGAATAAGATGAAATAAGAATAAAACAAAATAATTTGATCAAAATTTTGAATAATGTATAAAGGGAATTCCCAATTATAATAGTTATTATAGATATGGGAGAATGGAACTCTTGCACATGTTGCACTGCAGTTTAATTAGCAGGTGTACATTAAATTTGTTAACAGCTGATCTACGGTTTACAATCTTCTGATAAATCATCTTGATTTAAGGTTGTAATTCCTTTATTGGCCTCTTTTATCTCCGTTCTGAGAATTAATATTATACGTGCTTGAAACTGGGATATGCAGATTAATATTGGATGGGATTTAAAAAAGAGTTCATACCAATATAGCATCTTCTAAACTCTCATGGATTAAAATCATGTGATTAGAACCATTTTCAATTTACGTGTATTTTTTGTGAGAGAAAACACTGTAGCGAACTATGAACCATAATTCAAATCATGGTTTGAATTCTCCAACCAAACATCCCCTCAATTGTCTTTGTATTAGGCTCCTCTCGCCTGGGCACACGCGCACGTGTGCATAATTATTCTTCTTATGAATATACGGCTGTACGTATGTCTAATCATTAGACACGCTTGGATACCAATGGAGTTCCCAAAAAAAAATCACGAAATAAAGCTTCAAACACAAGACTTCATCTTCTTTTCAT